GGGGACAGCTGCTGGGTTTAGGAATTCTTTGAATCTAAAACTAATTCTCTCTCAACATCTTTAACTGACAACTTTTGAATTTAGTAGAGTCCATTTCCAAATTATGTCACTTCTGAGTTTCTGAATGGATGTGACTTTGGGTGCAGGGAAGTCAATTCAGCACCCACCAACTTTGCATTTTACTATATCATGCTTATATCTGAGGAGAAAACACCAAACTTGTGTAACCAAGCTCCACTCAGACGCCTTTAACTTTTCCATTTCTACTAATATGTAGCAATGTAATTATTATCACTCCCTGTGTATGTCTATGGCTATAGACACTAACATTGGTCACAAAAGAGTCATCTAACAGTTATGGAAGTGTCATTGTCTTTTGACAGGGATATGACAAATAGTATCCCCCAAACTGCTTCCCTTGGTAAAAGCAAATATAGAACAGTGTAGCATATAGAATACATTGTGTGAGTAGCTCAAGCTTCATTTCAAAAACAGGGTTGAACACTTACAAATACAATGTGGTAAGGAGTCTCTTTTGGAACCTACTAATTAATTTCTTCCCAAGGACTGTTGAATCATCAAGGTCCCTGGCTTAACATACATTGTATGGCAAAAAAAAATAGGGTCCAAAAGGGTCAAGGTCAAACAAAGGTTCAAAGTTCTGGGGATTTAGAAGGAGAAATTTGCATGGGACTCTAATTATATTGTGTGCGTGCTTTTCTTCCCCCTTTTCTTTTCCATGTATGTCACAGAACTACACTTGGCCGTCGGTGTTTGTCATGTTTCCCTTTGGTCTGGTCAAGCTTTCACATACAGAACTCCCTCTTTCTTCATTTAGCCCATAGTATTGCTTCATCTAATTCTAATGTAGCTTATTTGATGTGCGCAATATGACAGGTCATTAAGATTGTTTTATTTCTTTACAATATTATAGATTATTTTACCAAATAAGATTGCATATCCTTCATAGTGTGCTATGAGTATATGGATCTAAGGGATGGATTTATGACAGAAAATTACCAAGTTGAAGGACTAAAACATTTCAGCTTTTAAAAGAACCTAACTCTTTCCTTTATATATGCATATATTTCTGCGTACAGGACTTGCGTAGATAACTTTCTTTGTTAGAGATTTTGTTTTACTTCTCTACTTGTTTGCATCTTTTCCCATTTTCTCATGCATGTTGGTACCCAACCCGAGATAACTCTTGCTTATATCACTCCATAATTCTTCTGTGTGCACATAGTCTTATTAAATGCATTTAAATGGTCTGCAAATTATATTGATGTGTCTGTTAAAGTCAGTTATAACATTTTGTTCTAAAATTCATGAAGCTGCCATAAATCCAAACCAATTTGAAGGTAAATAGCAAAACTAATCATGAACTAATCTAAAGCAGAACAA